AAATAAACCTGTTGGACTATAACCTGGTGTCGTGTGACTTCTGACTTTTCCTTATCAAAGGGGCTGAAGTTTTAAGGCAAGTTAGTGAGGGAGTACAGGTAAGCAGGTAAATGTACGAGGGATACAGGTTGCAAGTTAGTGGGCAAAAGAGCACTGGAATATCAGGTGGCACTGCCTGCTTTGTAGTTATGAAGGCATTCTAGCAGGTTCTAAAATTCCTTTAAATCTTACATGGTTAACTTTAAAAGGAATTAAGTTGGATCTTAATTCAAGTTTGAGGACTTCCTTGGAGTATTCTGGATGTGAAAGTGCCTGCCAAAATTAAAACTATTCAGGTGATGACGATGTAATCAGCACATCAGGATTCCAGAGAGGAGCCAACACACATCTGTTATTTAAAGTATGATATCTGTCTATCTGGACACTGAGCTTAAATTCCAAAAAATTAACCTTAAAGTCTGCATTATTTATATCTTCCTCTGGAGGAAGTGAACTCAACATGCGTTTTGTTCGAGGGGCAGAGGTTTTTTTTAAACCAGAAATTATGATTCAGTACATTGTTAACAACTCACCTATTCCTGAACGAACAAGTCTCAACCTTGCAGGTAAACAGAAGATAGTTCAATATCACACTTAACAAAAATAAAGTCAGCAATGTTTTATGCTAATTCTGTCTACAAAGATTGGGCAGTACACCTGGTGAGAAGCAGGATCATTGATAACAGGATAATAACATCTCTTGCTCACTGACTCACCATGATTCACCTTGCATTCTTTTTGCAGCAGCCAGTTGAATGGAGAAGTTTGGAAAAAAAACATTTGTCCTCATTCATGAACTACTTGTTCAAATTCAGTACCAACATCACTGCAACCAAAGAACAGATTGGTAAAAATCTATTACCTGCCTACTTGCTCATTTGTGTTTAAGGTGGAGGTATTAAATAGGTCATATTTAATCCCAGCTGGAACAAGGATGATTGCATAACCAAGTAGGAAAATAGCAGAACAGCTAGACCCATCAGAAGAAGGGTCTAGGCCCGAAACGTCAACTTTCCTGCTCCTCTGATGCTGCTTGGCCTGCTGTGTTCATCCAGCTCTACACCTTGTTATCTCAGATTCTCCAGCATCTGCAGTTCCTACTGTCTCTGAAACAATCATAATGGCACTTCGTTTTAAAATACCAATCATAGAATATCGAGTCCTGTTGAATCTGTACTGCCAAAGATACACTATGTCGACACTAGATCCACTTTTCTGTAGCCTTGAATGTTATGACACTTGAAGTGCTCGTCTTTTAAAGGTTGTGAGATTGCCTGTCTCAACTACCCTCCCAGGGAGTGTGTTCCAGACCCCCACCAATCTCTGGGTGAAAAAGGGTTTCTCTAAATCTCCTCCAAACATCTTGTCTTTCACCTTAAAATTATGCCACCTTGTTATTGACCCTTCAACTAAGGGGAACTGATCCTTTCTATTCACCCTGTCAATGCACTTCATAATCTTATACACCTCTATCACGTACACCCCCACCCCCACCCTCTCTGCTCCAAAGACGACGACCCGAATTATCCAGCATCTTTTCGTAGCTGAAATGCTTCAGTCCAGGCAACATCCTGGTCATTCTCCTCTGCATCCCCTCCACTGCAATTGCATCTTTCTTATAGCACAATGAACCAAACGGCACATAGTACTCCGGCTGTGACCTAATCAGAGTTCTGTACGGCTCCGACATGACCTCCCTCCTTTTACAATCTATGTCTCGACTCCTAAAGGCAAGTGCCCCATGTGCCTTATGAACCCAATTAGCCTATTCTGCCACCTTCAAGGATCTGTGGATAAGCATTTAAGATCCCTCGGAGCGTCCTACTATCCTGCCATTCATTCAGTATCTTGTCTTATTATTTCTTCCAAAGTGCAAGAGATTTATCAAGGTTAAATTCCATATGCTACTGATCTGCCCATCCAATCTGTCCAGATATTCCTGTAACTTAGAATTTTCCACCTCACTGTCAACCACCCAATCATTGCTCCCATATTCTTATTTACATAATTCATGAATATTGCAATCAATAAGGGATCCACTGATCCTGGTGGCATGCCACTGGACATCAGCCTCCAGTCACATAAGGAGCCTTCTACCAACACTCTCTGTCTCCTACCCTAAGCCAAGTTTGAAACAAACTTGCTAAGTTACCATGGATTCCATGTGGAGCTTTGTCAAAGGCCTTGCTGAAATCCAAACAAACTGTAACAGCTCTACCCTTATCTAAACACTTGGTGAGCTTGAGAAATTCAATCAAATTCATTAGGCATGACCTTCCTCTGACAAAGTCATGTTGACTATCCGTGATCAAACCTGGCCGATCTAAATGGAGATTAATTTTCTCTTTCACTACTTTTTCCCCCAACAGTTTCCTGACAGCTGATGTGCCCACTCCAGCTTTTACATACACAATGCTCAATGTATTGTCCAATGAGCTGCAATCATCCCTTTATGTTGACTTTCAATCCTATGCTTCCCTAAATTTTTCTCTGCTGGCTTCACAGCGATTAAAGGTTCTCCTCTTGGCCCTCTGTTTCCAGTGTGTAATTTGAGATTTCGACTGTAATAACATAAACAAAACATTTAACATCTCTGCCATTCACACACAAGTGTTTCCCGTTTCTGCCATGTAAAAAAGAAAATGTTCATGGGACTGAGCATCACTGTATGGGCTAATATTTACTGCGCACCACTTATTCACCCCAAGTGGCTTAAGAAGCTGTATCAGAGGGCTGTTAAAAGTCAACTACGTTGTTACAGATCAGCAGTCATATGTAGAACAGACCGGGTAAAGATGGCAGATTTCCTTCTTTAAAGGACATTAACGAACCAGATGGTTATTGACAAACAACATGGTTCCCATGGACAAGTTTTTCTTTACTTAGAGTCAGAATTATACAGATAAAGGTGAGATGTTGCGTTTTGATAAGGCAGGACTTATATATTCTGTATTCCAGATTCTCACATCAGACCCTTCGGTCCAACCCGTCCATGCTGACCAGATATCCTAAACTGATCTAGACCCATTTGTCAGTATTTGGCCCATATCCCTCTAAACCCTTCCTATTCATGTACCCACCCAGGTGCCTTTTAAGTTGTAATTGTACCCACCTCCACCACTTCCTCTGGCAGTTTGTTCCAAACACACACCACCCTCTGCATGAAAAGTTGTCCCTTAGGTACTTTTTAAAATCTTTTCCCTCTCACCTTAAACCTAAGCCCTTTGGTTTTCTCCTACCCTGAGAAAAGACCTTGGCTATTCACCTTATCCATGCCCCTCATTTTACAAACATCTATAAAAGGTTATCCCTCAGCCACTACACTGCAGGGAAAATAGTCCCAGCCTATTCAACCTCCCCCTATAGCTCCTATTATAGGGAGACAAGAACTGAACGCAGTATTCTAAAAAGTGGCCTCACCAATGTCCTGTACAGCCGCAACATGATATCCCAACTTCTATACTCAATGCACTGACCAATGAAAGGCCTTCTTCGCCACCCTGTCTACCTGCAACTCCCCATTCAAGAAACTACGAACCTGCCCCCTCTAGGTTCCTTTGTTCGGCAACACTCCCCAGGGCCCTACATTAACAGTGCAAGTCCTGCCCCGATTTGCATTATCAAAATGCAACAACTCTCATTTATCTAAATTAAACTCCCTCTGCCACTCTTCAGTCCTTCTAGATTTTTACTGAATTCAATTTTCTCCATCAGCTATGGTGGGATACAAATTCATGTTCCCATAACAATAGGGAATCTGGTTTAGCAGTCTAGTTACATTATCACTATACCACAGACTCTCCACGAAGGGATCAGTGTTTACTTTAGCTACTTTCTTCATATATTTGTAAAAGCTCTTGCAATTAATTTTTATATCCCTAGCCAGTTTACTCATTTGTTTCCATTTTTAAACAAAAAAAAGTTGACTTTTTGATAGAAACCAGCCATGGTCAAAAGGACTCCCAGTCCTCTCAACTGTGAATATTGTTTGCAACATTGTAAATATATTCAAAACAGCTTATCCCTTGTTGGTTGTGAAACATATTGTTCCAAGAAAACTGGATGAAAGCATTCTACAAATAATCTCCTGATGACCTGTACAATTTGTTTTGGTCCTGAAAATTGAAGTCCTCCTCATTATTACATTGTCCTTGTGACAAGGTTGGGCTTTTTTTTGTTTTAAGTCCTGTTAGGCCTATAATGTACTTCTACCATTTTCTGACCATCGTTATTTCTAATCTCCATCCGTATGGCTTCTACTTTCTGATAGTCTTGAGACAGTTGTGAGAATCTAGAATACAACAGCAGGGAAATACTGTTGAGGCAGAGTAAAGTTTTGGTCAGATTGCACTTGGAATATGGTGAGCAGTTTTGTTTCTAAAGAAGGACGTGCTGGCCTTGGAGTAGGTCCAGAGGACGCTCATAATGGTGATCCTTGGAATGAAAGGCATCTCATAAGAGGAGTGTTTGAGGACTCTGGGTTTGCATTCGATGGAGTTTAGAAGGATAAGGGGGGAAATCCCATTGAAACTGCCAGGATATGGAGACGCATAGAGAGAGTGGACATGGAGAAGATGATTCCACTAGCAGCAGAGACTATGATCTGAAAGCACAGCCTGAGTGATGAATCGGGTCTTCACAACCTTCTGCGGCAAAGTCACTGAGTGTATTTAATGCAGAGATGGATAGGTTCTTCATTAGTAAGGGATAAAAGGGTTATGGTGAGAAGGCAGCAGAATGCGGTTAAGAAATGAATCAGCAACCATCGAAAGGCAGAGCAGACTCAATGGATCAAATGGCCTAATTCTACGCCTGTATATAATGGTCTTTTTTGTCATCCTTTCATGCCAGGTTATGACCCCTCCTTTTACATTTGGCCTGTCTTTTCTAAATATGTTCCTGGGCTGTTTTGCCTCCAACCATGGTCACCTTCTCATTGTATCTCAGTAATCCTGATATATCAAATCAGTTTCTCTGTATTCATGGTTCAGGATTGTCTATCTTATTGTAAATGCCTGGTGTGTGTAGATAATGGGCCTTTGGCTTTTTTTTTTAGAAAGTACTATTTTATGTGAACCCAATTTACTGATGCACTATTACCACTAAACTTTGCCTCATCCTGTTACATTCATACAAGTCTTCAGCATCTAAACAGGCCCTTTGGCCCAACTTGCCCATGCCACCCAGTTTTCAATTTAAACTACTCACATTTGGCTGCATTTGGTCCATATCCGTCCATATGTATCCCATCCATGTACTTGTCTAAATGTTTTTGAACACTGCTCAAGTCACACAGCAGCAAATTTGCCTTGATTTGTGTATTTAGATCTCAATTTCCACTTCGTTTGATTTCTCCAATTCCACCAACACCCCTACCACCCCATGCCCCCAAAGAATTGGAGTAACACCCTATTCACACTTTTGATTTTTGCAATTTGTCAGGACACTGACTCAACTAGATTAAGTGCAGCCCAAACCAAAGCAGCAGTTGTTTCTTCCCCATTACTGGTGCAAGTAGCCGATGCATCAAAACCCCTACTTCCCACCATTTTGAGGAATCTAGATTGTTTGCCTTGTTGTAATTAGCACATAACTCAAGATGTTTAACTCTGTTTTAAGTTGTATCTTGTGTGCTCAAACTCTCTCAGCAGAACATCATTTCTAGTTTTCAAAAACAGAAGTTGCTGGAAGGGCTCAGCAGGTCTGGCAGCATCTGTGAAGAAAATAAAATCAGAGTTAATGTTTTGAAACGTTAACTCTGAATTTTTTTTCTTCACAGATGCTGCCAGACTTGCTGAGCTCTTCCAGCAACTTCTGTTTTTGTTCCCGATTTACAGCATCCGCAGTTCTTTTGGATTTTTAAAAGATCATTTCTAGGTTTACCAGGGCACTTAATGCATGTAGAAACTAGACTAGATTCCTGTTCTCCCACTTCAAGTTTCTCTTCAGTCATGAATGTCTTCAATTTGGGAAGGCAACATAACCTTTATTGGCCACCTGTTTGAAGCTGGCTACACTGTCCCCAGTGACGACCACATTCCATTACATAATCACAGAGATGTACAGCATGGAAACAGACTCTTCAGTCCAACTCATCCATGCCGACCAGATATCCTAAATTAATCTAGTCCCATTTGCTAGCATTTGCCCCAATCTCTCTAAAACCTTCCTATTCATATATCCATCCAGATGCCTTTTAATTGTTGTATGAGTACCAGCCTTCATCACTTCCTCGGGCAACCTGTTCCAGACATACACCACCCTCTGCATGAAAACGTTGCCTCTTAGTTCCCTTATAAAGTTTTCCCCTCTCACCTTAAACTTATGCCCTCCACTATCCTGGAGAAAAGACCATCTCCCACTTGCATGTCTACCTGTACACTGGTGCTGTAGTCAGCTTCCACATCCATTGTACAGTCTCTTCTCATTTAAACAAGTGATCTGGATCTGAATGTACAAGGCATGACTCGTAAGTTTGCAGATAATACAAAATTTGGAGGTATTGTCAATAGTGAAGGTTATCAAAAACTAGAGGGATCTTGATCAGATGGGGAAGTTGGCTGAGGATTGGCCAATGCAATTCAATACAGATAAGTATGAGATGTCGCACTTTGGAAAATCAAACCAAGGTAGGACTTATACAGTAAATGGTAAGGTCCTGAGGAGTGTTGTGGAACAGAGACACCTAGGAGTACAAGTAGATAGTTTGTTGAAATCAGGGTCACAGGTAGTTAGGGTGGTGAAGAAGGCATTTAGCGTGCTGGCCTTCATTGGTTGAGGCACTGAGTACAGGAGTTGGGATGTTATGTTACAGTTGTAGAAGTTGTTCGTGAAGCTGCACTTGGAGTATTGTGAACAGTTTTGGTCACCCTCTTATAGGAAAGACATAGTTAAACTGGAAAGTGTGCAAGGAGATTTATGAGGATGTTGCCAGGACTAGTACACCTGAGTTATAGGGAAAAGGTTGGCCAGGATAGGACTTCATTCCTTGGGATGTAGGAGAATGAGGGGTGACCTTATTGAGGTGTATAAAATCATGAGGGGCATAAATAGGATGAATGCATAGTCTTTTTCCTAGGGATGGGGAACTAAAAACTAGAGGGCATTGGTTTAAGGTGAAAGGGGATTGAATTAAGGAGGACCTGAGGGGAACTTCTTCACGCAGAGTGGTGTGTGTATGGAATGGGCTGCTAAAGAAAGCAGTTGAGGCAGGTACAATAGTAACATTTGAACAGGTGCATGGATGGGAAGGGTTTAGAGGGGTATGGACCAAATGTGGGCAATTGGAACTTGCTGAATGGGCACCATGCTCGGCATGGACCAGTTTGAGCTGAAGGGATTGTTTCCATGCTGTATTACTCTATCACTCTGAGTAGTAAATGCCTCAGACAGCTCGGCCAAAGTAAAGGGCAAAACACCTCCATTCACTACATAAGAAATATATCGTCTCTTGAGCCTGACACTGAATGTGATCACAGCTAAGAGTACACATTCCTGATCACAGAATTACCTGTATGCTAATCAATAACCTAAGCTCAGTTGTAGGTAGATTTCTGATCTAACACCAGCCTTAGCCAATTGAATACAAAATTGGCTGGAAGGTAGCAAATAGACGGTGGTAGTAGAGGGTTGTTTTTCTAACTGGAGGCCTGTGACCAGTGGTATGCCACAAGGCTGGATGATGTGTCCATTGCTTTTTGTCATTTATATAAATGATTTGGATGCAAATGCAGGAGGTATAGTTATTAAGTTTGCAGTTGGTATCAAAATTGGTGGTGTACTGGACAGTGAAGATTATCTAGTACTACAACCAAGGAATGGCAGATGGAGTTTAATTTAGATACATGTGAGGTATTGCATTTTGGTAGGGCAAATGAGGGCAGGACTTACACACCTAATGGTGAGCCCCGGGGCTATTGCCAAAAAAGGGACCTAGGGGTACAGGTGCATAGTTCCTTGAAAGTGGAGTCGCAGATAGACAGAGTGGTGAAGGTGATGTCTGGTACACTTGCCTTCATTGGTCACTGCATGGAGTATAGGAGTTTAGATGTCATGTTGCAGCTGCACAGGATATCGGTGAGGACATTTTCAGAATACTGTGTTCAATTCCTGGTCTGTCTGCTACGGGAAAGGTGTCGTTAATCTTGAAAGGGTTCAGAAAAGACTTACAAGGATGCCACCATCTTCCATTTCTCAAAATTTTATCAACTCTCAGTAGACTCACTTGGTTATCATTTCTTCACATGGTAGCGCCTTAAACCCAGCAATCAAACTCATGAACCTCTCTAAGCTATGCCATGCCTTAAATAAGACAAACAAAATTGTAAATAGTAAAAGTAAATAAAATTGCCACAGTCCCAGAGGACCATCTGCTATCTCATTAGAGAGATTCCTGGTGGAGAGTTTAACCCGAGGATCACCATGCCTTAGGCAAAGGCCAAGGTTCAAGAGACAGGACCTTCATGGTGACCTCAGCAGGTGCAGGGTTGAACCTGCACTGTTGGGGTCACTCTGCAATGCAAACTATGCTGTCCAGTCAACTGAGCTAACCAACCCTCAAATAGCATTTCTTGTGTAGTCTCACTAATGCCCTATACAGCTGCAGAAAGACATCTCTACTTGTATTCTTCATTCTCCTCTATAATAAAAGCCGACATTCTATTTTGTCTTCCTGATGATTTGCTGCCCCTAAATACTAACTTAATGATACATGAACAAGGGCATCCAGATTCCCTTGTACTGTAGTATTTTGTAGCCTCCACTTAAATATTGTTTCAGTAATCGTCCTATCAAAGTAGATAACATTACATTTCTCACATTCTACTCCATCTGGGTAAAAGGTTTTGCACTTACTTAACCTGCCTTTTGAAGACTACCTATACCTTACAATTTACCTTCTCACCAGTTTTTGCACCTCTGGCAAATTTGGCTACATATACTCTGTCCCCTCATCCAAGTCAATAGAACAGTTTAGAAATACTCCAGTAGTTACAGTTTGCCAATTTAGAATTGACCCATTTATCTCACCCATTTCCAAGTTTGCCAATCCTCTACCAAAGCTGTTATAACCCCACAAGCTGTTCACGTGTGTAGTGACTTTTTTTAATGTGGCACCTTATCAAAGACCTTTGGAAAGCTGGATCCTAATACTTGCCTATCTTGCAGTTATACCATCTGATCCTGACCACTGATACCTAGAGAAATGTCTGGGCAATGCTTCCATACCCACATTTCCAAATTCCCTGATGTCTCTGTGTCTGAGACTTGAACCCTAGCTCAACAATTCACAGCTAAAGTGGGTTGAGCTGCAGGCAGAGAATGGGGATTTTCCGTTCAATTGCAATGCTCTCTGAAAAATTGCCCATGCTGCAGCCATGGGATACCATCTTCCCTGTCACATCAAATGTGATTTATCTATTTGTTAACTTAGTAAAGCAATATCAATTTAGTTTCTTAGCTTGGAGGCATGAAATAAAAAGCAGGACCTCCTGCCCTCCCTGCACCAAATTCCCACAAATTTCTGATTTGGCAATTTTTTCCAAAGCATCCCTTTTTTGAAAACTCTCCACACAAGTAAGAATTCTTTCTTGCAAGTCTGGTTTTCCACAGCATTCGATATATCCTGCACAGTCCTCAGGCAAGTGAGCAACTTTGTCCTAGGATTCTGTCTGTGCTTAATCAGGAGGCCCTGATATGAATTTTACAGACTCTCATTACTTTCCTCTAGTAAGAATACAGAAGTGTTTACCAACTACTTCAATAGAAAATGTATAATTTTCACTATCTCACACATAACTGAAATCAATGATGCAAAGAAAAACTTAAAATTTGCTTGCTTGCTGAAATTAACCAAACACAAATCGCAGAACATTTCCATTGGCCAACACTGAGTGGCACATTAAATAGTCGTTGCTGTAATAGAGAAATGTATAGCAGACAACTTCCATTCCATCAAGCCTATCCTAACTGCTTAAAACAGACATCACCTTTGTTCCACTTGAACTGCTCCCCATAGCTCAACTTCCTCTCTCCCTTTGAGTATTTGTCCAGTTCCCTTTCAAGTTTGATTCACCTGCTTTGTTAGTGCTTTCTAAAGTGTTAGAACACATGCATAAAACAATTCCAAACTCCACTGAATCTTGACAATTACATTTAAATGTGTCTTCTATTTCCATTGGAAAATTTTCCGTTTAGTCAATTTACTCTCCCTTAAATTGTCTGTTCCAAGAGTAAACCCTCTTCGCTTCCACTTCTCATCCATGCCACCATTCTGGTAAATCTTTTCTGCACCCTTCAAAGGCCTTTAAATCCTTCCCTAAAAGTGGTTCTAAAATTAGACAAAATACTCCACCACACTCTACCCACAAATTTAATCAAAGTTTAGTGAAATGTCCTAGCTTTTATACTCTACGCTTCTATAAAAAGCACTGATTGTGTATGTCTACTTAAAAAAGCATCCTGAACTTTCCCTGTCACCTTGGAAGTGTGCAAAATTCCCGCAGTCTCTCTTCCTGCAAAATTTTTGATGTGTACCATTAGTTTATATTGCCTTTCTAATTCTTCCCTTCAAAATGCATCACTTTGTTTTTCTTCATATTAATTGTCGTCTGCCATATAACTGTCTACAAGAACTATGAGCAAACCTTTCAGCTCGTTGAGATTGCTCAGTCAATTAATACAATCATAACTGGATTTGAAGTCTAAAGATCAGCTTTCTCCTCACTTTCTCCTTGGTTTCTCTGTGAATCTGTGCCCCACCCTGGTGTTCTAGATTCCCCAAAAGGGGAAAACAGCTGGTCAGTGTCAACCATATCCATCCATTTCAGAATCATATGTTTTAATGAGATCAAATTTCATTCTTCTGAATTTCAGAGAATATTGGTCAAATTTATTCAGCCTGTCATGCTAGAAACAACTTAGTCAACCTTTGCCGTACTGCCTGCAATACAAGTGTGCCATTCCTTAAATGTAGAGATCAAAACTACACACTGCACTTCAACTTGATCTGACCAAAAAAACTGAGACCTGAGGAAATTCTTTATTCTTGTACTCCATTCTCCTTGCAATAAACATTAACATGATATTTGCCCTCCTAAATGTTTGCTGAACCTGAAGCCAACTGTCTCCTTGTAAAATGCATCCAAGTCACTCTGAACATGAACATTCACAAATTTCATACCTTTTAAAAATATTCTTGTTTCATTTTTCATAACTAAAGTTAATAACCTCATACTTTACCATAATGTAGTTCATTTGTCACACGTTGCCCACTCACTGCTGTCTTGCAATCACTGGTCATCATCCTCAGTTTATATTCCTGATAAGCTTTGTATGGTCAACAAATCCAGATACACTTCTCTCTGCCTCTTTATCCAATTATGAATGTAATCTGTATATAGCTGAGATTTCACCACTGATCCTGTGCCAGTCCACTAATCACAGACCGCCAATTTGAAAATGTCCACTTTGCTTCTTGCCTGTTAACTAATCCTTGACCCACCTCTGACTCCACGTGCCTTCATTGTATAGCACCTACGATTGCCTTTTGGAAATCTATCCCATCTGTAAGAATGGAATCCTGAAGTCGATTGGTACCCTTGCTATTTACTGCATTTCTTAGTCTGTAGATTTTGAAATGTGGAAATATCAACAAGCCCTGGCCATTTACTATTAAAAAGGGACAATCCTTGTACCAACATCTGGGGGGCACACCTTTATGGTTGAGTTTGCTCTCAGCCACAAAAGTAACATCGACATTTAAATGATGGGCTGCAAATCTAAGTAAGCAAATTTTTAATACAAAATTTCAAAAAATAAAATCTTGTTGAGGTGCACAGTGGAAAAAAAAGCATACAGCAGCTTCAGTACGTAATGTCCCATCAATAAGACCATGAACTCAAGACACTTAGTTGTTGTCTGGTTGCTTAGATTTAAACATTTATAAACCAGTTTAGAGATATTATAGTATATATTCAAGCTTAGCTGAATCAAGTGAACTTCAAATAAAATCCCAATAGTACCAATTTTGTAAAAGTCTAATTATCACAACAGTTTCAACACTAGGCTAAGTTCAAACATGTTAAATATAATGGGTGAAATTTGGTCTATTCAGTACAGCGGTCAGAGCTCAGAACTTAGTTTTTTGATAGTGGCTGACAACTTGAACATGTTTTACACTTCTGGCAAAAACCAATTTCACGCATAAGATCTTTTGGGGGGAAACTTGTCTGGGCACATCAAATTAAGAATTGGCACTGTGCAAGCAGGAGGGACCCCCAAACGGGACTCTTTATTCTTGCATTCAAAGAAGTTTTCTGAAGGAACTCACCATTACTTAGCAGCTGAAGAAACCTAAACCAGTAAAGTCTATTGCCTATCTTGCTCATTTCTGATCCTTTTGCACAAATTGGACAGCAAGAGTTGTTAAACCTCATTTACCTATCTAGTGGACCTGACACCCGTTTCAGGCATCAAAATTGGTTCCCAATGCAAGATGCAATGCCTGCTTTACATAAACTTCAGCTCATAACATTTCTCTGAAAATTTACCTTTTAACTTCACAAGAAATAAAATATTTTCACCGATCAAACTGAAGTTACTGCAAACACAACTGCTTACGGACTAAACTCAGTCACAAGCCATTTTCAAATCCTGAGCAAAATCATACTGTAGTTATTCAATGCATCACCATGATTTAGCTGAGCATAAATTTTCTGTCCAATATCTATGAATAGTCAGAAATATAGTTATATTTGTCACATCGACAATGAATGCATATTTGATAGGAAGTACATGCCCATTGTCATCTTAAGTTTGCATAAACAGTTACATCTTCAGTTTCAAAAAAGTCTGGTAGCCTGGCCAAGTGATGAAATATTGACTTGAAAACCAGGCGTAGTTTACTTTTGGATGCAAAAATCCTAACACTGCTAAGACCAATGTTGTACAACAGGAGCTACTTGGTTGATTTTATTCCAAAACTGAATTCCCTGTAATTGTACTGGCATCAATTCACTTAAAACTGGAGTCAAAAATTTGAAAAACTCCTCTTAAACATCTTATTCAGTCTGCCCTTACCTTGAAAATTCAAAACTATTTTCAGTTCAGGATCCTGCTTTATACCTTTAGGGGTAAATTCTAAACACTATTACTTTGAGCCGACTAATGCATGCAGCACTTAATTCAGTCTCCCACAGTACTCCAATCACTATTAGTTGCTTCACGCTGCAAGTATAAACATTTTTTTTCAACAGTACAATTATTTTCTGCACTAAAACTAACTGTACATAGTTAGACTATTACAAGTACACAAAATTGTTAACATAACGGTACTGCTCACAACCATCCAGAAAAGAAGAGCACCGTCCTGAGTATTTCCATAGGGGTGGATAATAAAACCAATCAACGTTGTTGGCTGCAAAGTGCACAATGGAGTTGAAATCAAAAGCCAGATATTAATTTACAACTAATTTTGACTGGCTTGATTCTGAACCAAAAATAACTGCACTATCAGATATTGTGGATAGGAAACAATTTCACCAGTACGGACCCAAACAACAAAATAATCTAAGAGAGATGCTGTTCAACCTTGGAATGTTGCTTTAGATTAATCATTTTCCTTACTGTCGAGGCAGACACTGTAGAAGGGAAAAGTTATGCTCCCTAATACAACAGATTACATGAATCGGCAGTAGTGGATCTTCAGTTCTGGCTTTGGCAACTGACATTTTGTGCTCAGTGAATTTGAATTGCAAGTGTCCCAAACTTCATCCAGTAAATTCAAATAAAAAAGTTTTACAGAATAGCACACTCTGACCTAAGCAATAATACAATGTGACAGCAACAGTGGAATAGTGTATAGAGTCAATGAGATGAAAAGTCATTCATCATTCAGTGATGCAACATATTTTGTTTTCATCTCACAACCCACCAAAGAATTTCATTTGTTGTCCCTAGAGGAATTCTCAAGCTGGCAGTCATGCAACACTAGTAAATTTGGTAGCTTTTCTGCTGCATACTGGCTACTCTTGGACCCTTGAGAGGGTTACAAAAGTAGTTTGGGAATACACAGTACAAAAGTTAAGAAAAGTAGAGGCTAAACTCTACGACCAGCTCTTAAAAGGGTTCAACACAATGATCTATAAACAGTTGGTTTCTTTCTCATAGGATGTTGCAACAACAAAAGTTGAGAAAGCTCTGAGAATCTCCAACTGATGAACAAAAAAAAACCAAAAAAACAAACACTACTCTAAATTATTTTCAATTAAGGTGAACACGGTTCACAGGTTGGGACATAACTGATTAAACAAAATTTGCTATTATTACAATTGTTTTAAATAAATTGCCTGACCAGAGTTTTTCCAGTAAAATACCTACAAATTGCTGCATTTACTGGTTACAGTAATACAGTTGCAATCCCTGCAGCCACACAACTAAACGGTTCAAACAGCCCTGAAGAGAAGGTATTTCAAAACACTGAACGAGTGATTATCTATGCACTGCAAAGAAGACCAGCAGAGTTACAAAAGATACTGAACTATTAATGTAAACTACACTAAGGCATACAAACACAATGAAGAGCAACTAATAGTGTCATTTTTTTCAGTATCATATTTCTAACACTTTTAATGACTGATAAATGCTATTATTTTTTACTTTCAATCCCACTTTGTATTTTGGTCTTTTAAATCTATCTCCTATTTTCAATATTTTATAGGAGGGACAGTTTCATGAAAGATTCCCAGTGTTGATATAATGCTGTGTAGTTTTGCTGTCCTGGATACTGTGAATTCTGGAGTCACAGTCTTGAATTATCAGTGCAGATGCAGTTAAGAACTGCTGGAGATGGCTCAGCAGAATCAAGAGTGCCTTTCCCTGCAAACAGTCCTTTGTATGACAAGTTGTGTTGAGTGCTTGTGATAGTATTCATCAATTAACATCAATTCCCAATAATGTCTACAGTTCAAGTAATTCACTGTGCTTTTTCAATTGGCGTATAATTGGTGGTTTTGGGATTCTTGGACTCTAACTTCACTGTCTCATTCTGAGAAGGATTGGTCTCCGGATTTTTGCATCGTTCCAGAGGTTCTGCCATGTTGCAGTGGTCATGTTCGCAGCAGCAAGCACGTCCATCAGTTGTGGACTTGAACATTGTTCCTTCCTCATGATCCTTGCAGAAAGAGTTGGGGCAGAATTGACAAAAAACTACAGAAGGTTTTCCACAGACATCACAGTGGTGCCACGGGCACTCCCATTTTCCTAAAACAACAGTAAATGATAAATTAGTAATGGTGCAACAGAAAAAAAATTCTTGCTTAGTGTATTTCAATATTGTTTAAATAACTCAAGTAACTTGAATATCCATCCCACACTACAGGTCACTTCAAAGCAGAATCAAATATTTACTACCAAGAAAAATGCTTTTCCAACATAATATTTTTTGATTAGAAGGGAACAGATACAACTACATTTACCTGTCCAACAGAAAAGTATTGCTGCTGATGTAGATAGAAATCATTTTAGAACTCCAACAAGAAGTTTGCCAAAGGGGAAGAATCATCAAAAGAAAACAAAAATAGGTCTGAAACAGAGAAGTAGTGCCGTACAACATCTGGCTAATGAGTAACCTGCCTTTCTTAGGCAAACAGTTATCAGGGAAAAAATAATTTTCCTGTAAACGAATTGCATGTCTGAAAGGATAAAAACAATTACATTTCTGTAATATTCCTCCAGAAATGCTAAAAGGAGACCCTGGAGGAGATTGGTGAAGTGTGCACAATATCAGGAATAGCTAGACATTCGAAAGGCACTAATTGTCTGAAAACTGGACAATACAATGCCCATATTTGAAAAAAGAAAATTAAAACTAAAACTACAGACTAATTGAGCATTCAACCTTAAAATCTAAACTAATGGGGCAACTATTAAGCCCATAAACAGGGAGAAATGTGGTTTCAGAGAGGGAGGTTTCTGTGCCAAGTATTTTATTGTATGAGGCATTGGATAAAAGTTTATCACGGAAAACAAAGTGAAAAGTGGTGAATTTCCATGAATTCCTTTGCTATGGATATGAAATTTCCTAGAAAAAAAGACAATAACATCCAATTGTTCAAGGTACTGCATTTATTGGGTGGTGTGGGAAAGACTTCAAATTGTCAAGTTGAAAAGTAAAGTGAGAAGTAAAAACAGGATAAGCAAGTACCCCATGAATGATGTTGAAACAGCTCAAGATAAAGCTGAAGGAGACTTGGGCATCAGGAGACTTAGTGCCCAACATGTCCAAACAATGCAGAGCAGCAGCAATCAATAATTCTGCAAGAATGTTGAAACATACTGACAAAACAGTATAATGCCAAGCAGAAGCAACCATGGCCATCTGTGTAAGGATCTGGTAGGTTCATTCTTTGAATAGTACGTCCATTTCTTATTATTAGAGACCAAACGGTACTCAAGTGATGGAAGAAATGTGGAGAAGAGCAACATGGCTGATCATACGAAAGACTATTTTTTTTCTTTATGCTTGATTGGAATGTGGGCTGGAATTTGCTGCCCATCTCTAATCGCTCTTTATTAAAAATTCATTCATTTGTGGGTGGTGGGCGGTGCTGGCTGGCCAGTATTTATTACCTGCCCTTAGTCGCCCTTGAGAAGGAGGTGGTGTGCTGCCAACTCGAATTGCTGCAGTCCATGTGCTATAGATTGACCCGTAATGCCCTTAGGGAGGGATTTCCAGGATTTTGACTGAGCAACAGTGAAGGAACAGCAAAATATTTCAAAATCAGGAGGAGGTCAAAAATCATATGATACCAGATTATAGTCCAACAGGATAATTTGAAAATACAAGCTTTCAAAGCCTTGCTCCTTCTTCAAGTGTTAGTGAGAGAGGTGGAATCAGACACAGAATTTATAAGTAAAAGATCAAAGAGTCACACCACTGATGAGGATGTATTAAACAAACCTAAGGTGCTATTAAATCTTTAATCAATTAGAAGGTTTTAATTGATTAATATTTAAGAGCATCTTAGGTTTGTTTAATACATCCCTCATCAGTGATGTGACCCTTTGATCCTTTATTTATGAATTCTGTGTCTGATTCCACCTCTCTCCGCCAACACCTGAAGAAGGAGCGAGGCTGTCAAAGCTTGTGTTTTCAAATAAACCTGTTGACTATAACCTGGTGTCGTGTGATTTCTGACCATGTCCAACACCACCATCTCCACATCATGAAGTCAGGATGGTGAGTGGCTTGGAGTGATACTTGCAGGTGGTGGTGTTCCCATGTATCTGCTGCCCCTGTCCTTCTAGTTGGAAGTGGTCATGGGGTTAGAAAGTGCTATTTGAGGATCTTTGGTGAATTTCTGCACTGCATCTTGTTGATTCCAAACACTGCTACTACTAAGACTCGGTGGTGGAGGAAGTCAATGTTTACGGATATGGTACCAGTAATTGCCCTTGAACTCGTGGTTCTCTAGGCTGCTGCAGAAGGCAGTTAACAGTCAACCACACTGCTATGGGTATGGAATCACATTCAAACCAAACAAAGTAAGCATGACAGATTTCCTTCCATAAAGGAAAATGAACCAGATGGGTTTTTAATGACAATCACCAATTGTTACATGGTCCCCTTTAGATAAGCTATTAATTTAGATTTTGCCATCTGTTATGGTGGGATTTGAACCCATGTTGGTAGGCTATCAGCCTGAACCTCTGGATTACAAATCCAATGAATGATGTTATTATGCTACAGCCTCTTCTGAGCCATCACCTTAATGGGTTGCATAACTGAACAGCAGAGAGGGAGACAACAGTGAGTTTAGGTGACTCTTCATCAGAGCTGATGTGAAGTATGGAGTGGCAGCATTTATGCAATAGTGCGGGGGTGGAGAGCTGGGGGAGAAAAGCTGCTGATATTGCAGTTTAAGTGATCAGAACGTGAGAATGGCAGAACAATGGTGTGTCAAAGTGCCAAACTAGAAAGTACAGATGGTCCCACTGGACTTGGTGTGAGGGGAGAGAGGACAAGGTGCCATAAAATGCAACAAACTAAAAGGAAAGAAATGGGAGTGAGATCACAATCTGAAGGTATTGAACTCAATATTAAGTCCAGAAGATTGTAAAGTGCCTAGTATGAAGATGATATGTTGTCCTTCCAGTTTGTGCTGCTATTCGCTGGAGACTATTTACAGTTTTGTAATCCACTGGGACCTTTCCAGAATCAAGGAAATGTTGGATGGTATGGTTAAAGAGATTTATGTTATGAAGAAGACTAGGAATACTTATAGCTTTGCAAGGAGGCATCGAAAGACGCTCAAATATAGCTACACGTTATTAAAATGATCTGGAAAAGGCAAAGTTTAAAGGCAGGTTTAAATTGCCTCGGATAGGTATGAATGATCTAAGTAGTAGATGTAATAGTGGTTCAAAATCTGAGACAAATCGGAGATTGTGTGCATGTTATTAAACTTCCCAAAACAAAGGTTACATTGACTATAGTGCTGCATTAAGTTGTGACACAGCAACCTGATGGTGTAGAATTATTCAGTCTCATTGGAATTATTTTATTTTCCACCCTTTCATTATTGTTCCTGAGTAAAGGAATCACTCCTAGTACATTAACATCTGCCTCCAGCTACCTATTTAAGGCTCCATTTTGTACATTCTCCTCTCTACTGTCAAGCAAGACCAACAAGAGATTTCGTTATATTTCTGGTTTGCCATGTAAGAACATCTTTTGTCATTTTTTAAAATACTGTAACACTCCCATGACCTTATATGAAATGCAACAGGATACAGGAATTTACTTTAATGTAGTCAACTACTCTTAAGAATGAAGGCTTGAAATAACAAAGGCCATTCAGCCCTACGTCTTTCTCTCATGAGTTGGAACTTCACCCTGTTGGTCTTCTAACAAGTTACGCACTTGGGTTCTTATGTGATCCCCTTTTGGGTGTGGGGGTGGGGGTGTGTGTGTGCGCGTGCATGTGCGGGGCACGGGGGGGGGTGCAGGCAGAGGAATCCAGCAGTATTATCATGTCTACAATCTTGAATCTACTTCAGATGTCTCACCTATTAAACGATCACTCTCGGGAATATTTTATGTTTATACACCATTTTGTGAGAAAAGCTTTCTAATCTCTAATATTAACTCAGGCTTGTGAACTGTCCACTTAATTTGGCTGCAGAAACAATTTTGAAGTTTGCATATTTTTGGGAGTCAGTTAAAACTTGGGTCTAATATTCCACATTAATGATCAGTGAACTGACGGGAAGTGCCACCAATTCCAACTGAAAAATCAAAGCACTGGATGTTGTCACGTTCAACATGAATAGCAGTGGGTCAATTAAATGGTTGACATGAGGAGGAAACGATCACCATCTTCATGTGAGCAGAGCTCACCAGGACAGCAAAAGTCTGAAAGTTTTGTAATCATGCTCAACCAGAAATGCTGAGTGGACGAGGCTACCACCATCGGAGATGCTGATCTTCAGCTAGTGTGATTCACGACATGCAATATTTAAAAAAAGGTTGAGGGTACTAGAAATAGCAAAGGCTTTGTATTGTAATTTTAAAGACTTAAAAGGTATCTGTGCTTCTAGCCAAGTTGATCTGGTACTGCAGGCAAGATGGGAATGAGAACTCGTGGCATCAGGCAGCTTTTAACCTAATATGGCCTCATGGAGCTTCCGTAAGACTAAAGTCAATGAAAACTAAGGAAAATGTTCCATTGTTTGGAGTCATGCATAGCACAAAGCAAGATGGCTGTCCTTGTTGGAGGCCAATCATTTTAGTCCCAGGGCATTGCTGCAGATATCCTTAGGACATTGTTCCAGGCTCAACTATCCTTAGCTATTTCATCAATGACCTTCCCTCCCTCATGAGATTAGATGTGGGATGTGGTATTGAGTCCCATTCGGAACTCCTCAAATAACAAAGCAGCCTGTGATCACATGCAATCAGGAATGCAACACATTGCAGAAGTGCCAGCCAATGATCATCTTCAACAAGAAGAATCTAACCACCTGCCTATGACATTCAATCACACTACTATCACTGAATTTACCACAGTCAACAGCATGAGAGCAGAAACTGAAGTGGGTAAGCTAGGGAAGGCAATGGCCTAGTGATATTATCGCTGGACAGTTAATCCATAGACCCAGATAATGTCTGGGGACTTGGGTTCGAATCCTACCATGGCAGATGCTGGAATTTGAATTCAATAATTAAAAAAAAATCTGGAATTAAGCATCTAATGTTGACCATGAATTCATTGTTGATTGTCAGGGAAAAACCCATCTGGTACACTAATGTCCTTTCGGAAAGGAAACTGTCATCTTTGCCCAGTCTGGCCTACATGTGAATACACAACCACAATGTGGTTGACTCTTAACAGCCGTCTGGCTAATTAGAGATGGGCAATAACTGCTGCCTAGCCAGTGAAACCCTCATCCCATGAATGAATAAATAAAAAGTTAAATACTGTGGCTACAAGGGTAGGTCAGATGCTGAAATTTCTGTACTAGGTGATTCAACTTCTGATTTAGCAAAACCTGCTAATATATGTAAAGCAGAAGTCAAGAGTGAGATGGAATACTTCCACTTGTCCAGCTGAGTGGAGTACCAATAGCACTCAAGAAGTTCAACACCATTTACAAAGCCTGTCTTACCTATGCCCCATTCACATCTTAAACATGCACTCTCTCCACCACCGTAGGTTTAGTGAATATTATCTTCAAGATGCACTGCAGTAATTTGCCAACACACCTCCCACTCCCCAAACCTTTGTAACTTAACAGAACAATAGCAGCAGGTGCATGAGAATACCACATCCAAGTCACATACCATCCAGACGGGGGAAATAAACCTGTCCGTCATTGTCGCTGGGACAAAAATCCTGGAATTCCCTCCCTTGCAGCACTGTTGGTGTAGCTTTATGGGATGGACTATCGTGGATCAAGGCAGCAACTCACCACTACCTTCTGAAGAGCAATTAGGGTCAGGCAATAAAAGCCCAAACAATGCCCACAATCTGTGAATGAATAAAGAAGCTTGGATTCCTCACCTGAGTTTTGTGAACTCACTGCTTTCTCACTAAAAGCAAGAAATAAACTTATTTCAAACTAAGTAATTTGCTGAGAAGAGACAAAGAAAACAGATTAGCACGAAGACTTGAAATTAGTCAAATTCTCAAAAGTTTCAGTTACCAAATGGAGGTTTTGTAAGACTGAGGCAGGATAGGTGATATGACTTTGAACAAGTTTTTCTATCACAAAGTACAAGTTCTCCACCATCTCTGCACCGGAAGCATTCATCCTCATGCTCTTTTTTCCCATCACCCTTAGATTTCCGTTTCCGTATTTTCTTTCTCCCCCTTTTTCCTTTGTCATCGGAACCATTACTTGCATTCTGTAAAATTAAAAATTAGTGTTAGATAAGATCTTGGGTCTTATTTTCCTGAAAAAAAAATGAATACAACAATTTTTAACTACTTGCATACCAGTCATTACAGTTTATATAATTGTTATTTCCATTAGTATTTGGCTAATCACTTGCGAGTTGTTGCATTACAACAGTAGCTTACCATTTCTTTTAAAAAAAAACTGACTTACACACCCAGAATAATTTAAAATCAGGGGTGAAGGCTCGTCTTATTGCTAATTCTATTGGATTAAATGGACTTTTGTTTTCTATTCATTTGTGGGACATGGGCATCACTGGCTGGCCAGCATTTCTTGCCCATCCTGGGTTGCTTTTTGTTCCTCTAAAGGTTCTATACTGGCAAATAAAGGTAGTCAAATATAGTCTTCAAGAACAATGAATGAGGTGTACTTAACATATAAATAAAAACAGAAGGGAAACATGAGTAACAATTATTGAATGCAACATTGAAGATGAAGACATGAAAGCACCTCCAAATAACAGTAATGCATTTTTGTACAAAATATTCCAAACTGAGGCCTCAGAAGTATTAGCCACTAACTGGAGGTAATGAAAGCTCATCAAGTTCCATTATTTCAAGCTGCAATAACACCAACTGTCAGTCCAAGTGAAGAACACTGCCCATACACGCAATTCACATCATTATACCATACTGTGTGTGTGGCTGGTACAGTATATTGCTGAAGGAAGGGATTCATTCAGAGTATTTCCACTGTCCTTACATATATTAATGGAGTGTATTGACTCAACTTTTGGCACACTGGGAATATTGCATTAAAACGTTGATTTTATTATAAAAAGTCTGCAATTAATTTCAAACCGTACCAAACTTTATGGCATCAGTATGTTATTGCAATACATTCAGAGTCAGAGAGGTACAGCATGGAAACAGACCCTTCAGTCCAACTCATCCATGCTGGCCAGATATCCGAAATAAATGTAGTCACATTTGCCAGCATTTGGCCCATATCCCTCCAAACCCTTCCTATGCATATACCCATGCAGATGCCTTTCAAATGTTGCAACTGTGCCAGCCTCCACCACTTTCCCTGGCAGCTCATTCCATATCCACACCACCCTCTACGTGAAAAAGTTGCCCCCTAAGTCCCTTTTAAATTTTTCCCCTCTCTCCTCAAACTGATGCCATCTAGTTTTGGACTCCCCCACCACAGGGAAGAAACCTTGTCTATTTACCCTATCCATGCCCTTCATGATTTTTATAAAAATCTATAAGGTCACCCCTCAACCTCTGACACTCCAGGAAAAATATCCCCAGCCTATTCAGCCTCTCCCTATATGTCAAGCCTTCCAATCCTGGGAATATCCTTGTAAACCTTTTCTGAACCCTTTCAAATTTCACAACATCCTTCCGATAGGAGGGAGACCAGAACTGCAATCAGTACTCCAAATGTAGCCTAACCAACGTCCTGAACTGCCATAACACGACCTCCTGACTCCTATACTCAACGCACTGACCAATAGAGGCAAGTATACCAAATGCTGCCTTCACTATCCTGTCTACTTGGGACTCCACTTTCAAAGAACTAAGAACGTGCACTCTCAGGTCTCTTTTCACAGCAACACTCCCCAGGATCTTACCACTACGTGTACAAGTCTTGCCCTGATTTGCCTTTCCAAAATGCAGTACTTTACATTTGTCTAAATTAAATTCCATCTGCCACTCCTCGGTCTATCTGATCAAGATCCTGTTGTACTCTGGGGTAACCTTCTTCCCTGTCCACTACAGTTCCAATTTTAGTGACATCTGCAAACTTACTAACCATACCTCCTATGTTCACATCCAAATCATTTATATAAATGACAAAAAGCAGTGGACCCTGCACCAATTCTTGAGGCACACCGCTGGTCACAGGCGTCCAGTCTGAAAAGCAGTTTTCTTCCTTTGAACCAGTTCTGTATCCAAATAGCTTGCTCTCACTGTATTCCACGTGATCTAAACTTGCTACCCAGTCTACCATGAGGAACCTTGTCGAATGCCTTACTGAAGTCTATATCGATCACATCCACTGCTCTACCTTCAATCCTTTTCATTACTTCTTCAAAAAATCGCAATCAAGTTAGTGAGACACAATTTCCCACGCACAAAGCCATGTTGACTATCCCTAATCAGTGCTTGCCTTTCCAAATATGTGTAAATCCTGTCCCTCATGATTCCCTCCAACAATTTACCCACCACCGATGTCAGGCTCACTGGTCTATAGTTCCCTGGCTTTTCTTTACTACCTTTCTGAAATGGTGGCACCATGTTAGCCAACCCTCAGTCTTCTGGCACCTCACCAGTGGCTATTGACGATACAAATATCTCAGCATGGGGCCCAGCAATCACTTCCCTAGCTTCCCACAGAGTGCTAGGGTATACCTGATCAGGTCCTGAGGATTTAGCTCCAAACCTTCAGTTGACATGCAATTGTTCATTGTAACCTATTCCTGACATCCCAACTAATCCTAAAATAGACAGTACAATATAAGAAAAAGAAAATACCTTGTGACCGATGGATTGTTTGCATATCGTATGGCTGCATTTCTGCACATGTGGTACAATTAAACAGGTTTCAAACTGTTGAATGTTGAATGTTGAAAATATGCATGTGTAAATGGCAATTTCATTACATCCGTTTGGCTACATTTAAGTTTAATTAAAATTGCAGCAAGTGGTAATTTTCGAAGTCCAAGTAAAACAGCTTTACCAGAACCAGAACATCCTCAAATTCAATAGTATGCTGATTAACAACAAAGGGTAGTACCACAGTGAACAATAGACATAAACAAATGAATCCCTTTTACTACCAATGTAGATGTAATTTTTCATGTTCCTGTACAGACTAATTTCTCTCTACTGTAAAGCATGCGGATAAGCCATACTATCAGCACGCGAAAGATGCGTAAAATTATTATTTTGGACAGCTAAGACTGAACATCAAGAAGTACACATAAAATGCAGTCACTGTTTATATATATATATAGGATATGTAGCAGCTACCATAACGTTACCAGAGCATGATAATTTTCTCCAACTCCTAAATGTTCAGCTTTGGAAGTAAAACTTGGATAAATAACATTATATCACACAACTTATTCCTGGATGCTACAATTAATCATACCTTGGGTCTGACCCCGAGGAATCCACTGCAATTTGGTGCCCCACACCTACAGATGGTCTTCTCATTGCCAAGACAGTCAAGATTGTAATTGAAGGTCAGCTCAGTCCCTAAGGTTAAAAATAGTATTGCATTACACACACATACCTGTCTTTTACAAATTAGCAACATTATACTGCCAACAATACGTATAGTGTAAAGGTGTTTTTCCAAGGAAATGTTTAAAATATCTTAGGTAAAATCAAAATACTGTGGATGCTGGAAATTTGGAATAAAAATGGAAAGTGCTGGAGAAACTCAGCAGGTCTGGCAGCATCTGTGGTGAGAAACATAGTCAATGTTTCAAGTTGCATGACTTCGGAACACTGAAGAAATACTCACATTGGACTTGAAAGTACATAGTATCGGGGTAGTGTACTGACATGGATAGAGAACTGGCTGGCAGACACGATACAAAGGGCAGCAATAAACAAGTCGTTTTTTTGAGTGGCAGCCAGGACTAATAGAATACCATAGGGATCAGTGCTTGGACCTCAGCTATTCACAATAAGTGTTAATGATTTGCATGAGGGAACTAAATGTAATATCTCAAAGTTTGCAGATGAAACAAAGCTGGGTGGACTGTAAGAAGGATGCAGAGATGTTTCAGTGTGATTCGGACATGTTGAGTGAGTGGGCAAATTCATGGCAGATGAAACATATGTGGATAAACATAAATATTCACTTCAGCAGCAAGAACAGGAATAGTTTGGTAAAGGGAGACATGTAACAAGACCTTGGTATCCTCACAATCACTTCAAGTAAGTATGCAGGTGCAGCAGGTGGCGAAGGCAGCAAATAGTATGTTGGCCTTCAAAGTGACAAGATTCAAGTCCAGGACCAGGAATGTCTTGCTGCACTCGTACAGGATCATGGTGGGACCACACTCAGAGTATTGTTTGAAGTTTTGGTCTCCTTCTCCGAAGGAGGATGTTCTAGCAATGGAAAGAGCCACGTGGAAATTTTAACGTTGATTCCTTGGAGGTCAGGACTGAAATATGAAGTGGTTAGCCTTTGGAATACTCTGCCACAGAAATCTGTTAAGGTCAAAAGATTGAATGTTTTCAAGGAGGAGTAAGATATCATTCTTGGGGCTAAAAGGATCGAAGTGCATGAGGAGAAAGCAGGAACAGGGTAATGAGTTAATTGATCAGCCTTAATCATGAAGAATAGCAGAGCAAGCCCGAAGAGTTCAATGGCCTACTTCTGCTTCTATTTTTGATAGCCTAAGTTTCTCCAGCATTTTGTTTTTATTCATAAAATATCACAATCTAAGCAGACAACTTTAAATTTCTGTTCAACTTGCAACAAGACCCATCTTTTACATGGTGTGCTCTACTGTTATCAACAAAACAGATGTAATATCTTCATTCAACTTTGGGTAAAGTCAACCACTTATAATTTCTCCAACTGCTGCCTACCCTTACAAGGTTACCAGGAAAATATTTCAATAGAGGCAAGCGTGAGATGTTACAAGTTGGTAGGAAGCTATAGTGCGTGGAATAAGAATCCAGTTGAGGTACAGAAACAAAAGGTTTTAGGGCTACAAAATATTAAAGTAGTGATGCAGATTAATAAAATTATAGAAAAAGCAAACCAAACAGGTTAATTTATAATAGCACAGAATTGAGAAGCAGATTCTAGTTATACTGAACAATTCTGTTCTCCATATTGTGGAAAGGATATAGTGACATGGGAGAACGTGCAAAAAAGATTTACAATGACAACTGGGTCATGAAAAAGAAGACTGCAAGCTAATAAAGTTCACAAACAATTCAGGAGAAGCCGCCTTAACCAAAGTGTAATAAAGGTGTGAAACTCACTAAAAAGGAAGCTCACGTGGAACACAAATATTGAAACTGTCTAGTTGGGCCAAATGGCCTGTTTGCACTGTAAATACATTAAAATTACACTTATTTGTATGAGTTTAAGGTTAGAATGGTCAATGTTATTTTGAAAATTTCAGGACTTCCCCTTACCTGCTGGGATATCACAAAGAGAAAACAACCCAACTCGAGTGTCTCCATTCACTGTCCATTTCTGTGTTTCACAATTGGGCTGACAACTGTGGTTCATAAATCGGCAATAATTGCCTTTAGGCCCAGCATCAATTATTCTATCCTGAAATAGATAACATTCAAACAAATAAATGTCTGACAGGATTGGAAAACATTGGCAGATGTACTCGAAAGTCTGTTTATTGATTCAGAGACGAGCAACACTATAGAATAAAAGAAGTGTCCAATAGTACATTCTTATGAACATTAAGATTTGGATTCGAAGAAAGATTCAATAGGATAAACAGGCTATGCTCCAAACTAACCTTAAAATATTAATATAATGCAAACATGTAGTGAAATATTTTCAAAGGAATGCAATTAATCAGCCAAACAGTCATGTTACTAATTATGAAGACAACAACATTCCACTTTTTCCAGTCATGTGTAAATTGGACAGTAATCCAAATAAATTTATTCAAGGATTATTAATCTGCCTCAGCTATGAACCAAGAGAATGGCAGATCGGTATCTCCAACTCCATTTACTAACCTTTGTCTCAGATCCCTCCACATCCTTCCCTAATAAAAGTCTACTCTTAAGTGCTGATAATTTTCAACTGACCCATTGCTCCCAGCATTTTTGGGTTAACCTGTTTGTGAAAATGTGCTTCATGATTTCAGAGTGGCTTGGCTCAACTTGTGACCTGTGACTTTTTTTTCAGTTGATTGCTCATCACAGGAAACAGTTTCTTTGAAAACACAGTAAATGTATCAGAGGAAAAGATCCACTTCGAGGCACTATTTTTCACATGAAATATGAAACCAAGGCTCTATCTCATCAACTGGATGTAAAAATCCCATGACAATTTTTTGAAGAGCAGGGGAGTTATTCGCACCATTTTGACCAATAGTTCTCCCTGAATTGACATCTCCAAAAAAATTAATTGACTATATTTCCTTACATTACAGCAGTGTCTACACTTCAAAAATACTTCATTAAGAGTAAAGCACTTTGGGTTGTCTGGAAGTCACAACATGTGCTGCAAGGTTTGGGTCCTTTCTGGAATTCAGTACAAGACACAGGCAAGATTTATACAAACTGCATGACTCAAACTTTAAACTTTATGTCAAAGTCATAGCAGGATCAGCGCTTTCACTCAATAATGAGAGGATGTTCTATCACATCAGTCCCATTTCTGATGTGACAACACCACTGGAGCAACCCTATTAGAATGGATGAACTGGTCATGATCACTTCATTGTTTGTAAGATATTGCACTGTGCAAATTGGCCAGTCTACATCAAAAAAGTGATTGTAACATTTGTAATATACCTCAATTATCAAGCTTGGGATATGACAGAAACATTGTACGCAAAGAAATCTTTTTTGCACTTTTATGTTATTATTTTTTAATTCCCTAATGGGACATGGGCGTTACTGGCTGGCTAGCATTTAGTGCTTGTTCCTAGCTGTCCTTGAGAAGGTGATGGTGAGCTACCTTCTCGAACCGCTGCGGTCCATGTGCTGTGGGAAGGCCCACAATTCTGTGTGCGCGCGCGTGTGTGTGTGTGTGTGGTGGGAGGAGGGTTGTGGAATTCCAAGATTCTGACTCAACCACAGTGAAGGAACAGTGATCTTTTTCCAAGTCAGGATGGTGAATGTCTTGGAGGAGAACTTGCAGGTGGTGGTGTTTCCATATATCTGCTGCCTTTGTACTTCTAAGATGGAAGATGCTATTTAAGGATCTTTGGTGAATTTCTTGTAGATAGTACATACTGCTGCTACTGAGTGCTGGTAGTGAAATAAGTGGACGCTTGTGGTGCCAATTAAGCAGACTTTGTCCTGGATGGTGTCAAGCTTCTTGAGTGTTATTTGAGCTGCATCCATACAGACATGTGACAGTATTCCATTTCACTCCTAACTTGTGCCTTGTAAATGGTGGACAGGCTTTAGGGAGTCAGGAGGAGAGTTACTTGCCAC